ACTCCATGGAGACCTTTATTTGGAACATTCATATTTTGCATTTCAAAGTTGGAGACTGGATTTTCTACCCACGGGTGCAGGTGCACCCGCATGAACAGTATGTTCGATTTAAAAAAAATCAAAAAAATCTGAAATTTTGGGACATCAAACTAGATCGAAATCTTTAGCTTCATGCAAAAATTTGTGACCAAATAACATCCGAGGAGCCTCACCAGAAATAAGAAAATCAGCGTTCAAAGTTTGTGCACTTTTGAGCAGTGATTTTTTTTTGTCACGACTCCTCGAATGTTATTTGGTCACAAAATTCAGAAAGGTGTGGCTGCTCCCGGGTGCACCCGCATGAACAGTACATGCGGAAAAGACTGAAAACAAAATCAAAAAAATCTGAATTTTTTTGACATCAAACTAGACCAAAAGTTTTAGCTTCTTGCAAACTTTCTTGACCAAATAGCATTCGAGGAGCCCAGACAAAGAAAACAAAATCACTACTCAAAAGTGCACAAAACTTTGAACACTGATTTTGTTATTTCTGGCGAGGCTCCTCGAATGTTATTTGCTCACGAATTTTTGCAAGAAGCTAAAGCTTTTGATCTAGTTTGACGTCCCAAAATTTCAGTTTTTTTTATTTTGTTTAAAAAAATCGATGTGCACCCGCACCCGGGAGTAGAAATTTCAGTCTCTTGAAAGAAATTTCAAAAAATTCTGAAATAATTCCACTTTGACTTATGGATGTATACTACAGGTGTGTAAACTTTTAGGAGAAAATAGATTGATTCGGGAGCTACAGAAAAAAGTGAAACAGTTGGCTTTATAAAGTGAACAGTGGAGTGCACACAATACTGTTTTGAAAATCAACAATTTATCAGTTTTTGTAGCTCATCTGTCATGGCATTTTACCATAAAAATTTGCACACATGCAGTATACATCTATGAAAATTTGTTTTTCCAGATTTTTTGGAATTTGGAACAGTGTTTGATTTTTTTTAAACAAGGTCCATGGAGCTCGTCAGCTCGAGCACTAAAACACATTTTTGTTGGAGAGGGTCGAACATTGGGCATCTTCAAGTGAGTTGGTCAAATTACACCCCTCTATTTCTTCCCGGGCACGTTCGGATTTGTTTCCGTCATGTATAGTGGTACCCATTTGAGTCCCATACTTCTTCCCCACGTATCCGTCCCACTTTTCAACCTGAAGTATTCCACTTTTCACTCAAATAAAAACATTGATTTTTCGTGAAATAATTCAACGACATCTATTACAGTGCAACAATAACTCAAAGATTAATATCACAATTCAAACATAAAGTTTCAAATTATATAGTTCAAGCTTAAAATCAATTTAATCAGAGATGGTCTTCTATTGGTTTTCATGATGCACCTACGCATGCTCTAGTAGAGCATTGTAAAGTTGTCGATCCACTTTTTTTGTTCATGAATTTTCTGATGTTTCTTGAGAAATTTCCAAACTCAGTCATGCTTTGTTGTGGGAGTTTGATAGTCTCTTTTATGAATTCAAAATCAACATCACATAGGTCACCTCATCCTCCACAATAATATTGTGTGATCACACAACATGTTATCACCTCCCACAGTGTCTTGGGATCCCAATTTTTAGCAGGTCCACGAACAATTGCAAAAGAGCTTGTAACACTCCGAATGCCCTCTTCACGCTCTTTCTCCCACCTTCTTGCATGTCGGCAAACATAGACTAATTATTACTTTGTGGGTGGGAGGTTGTTTTGAAAAACGTCGCCCGCTGAGGATAGATACCAACAACAAGGTACCACCCCATGGTGTAATCACGCCACTGAGCTGATAGTTGCACTCTAGACCTTTGCCACAAAAAAAATCCTTGCAAACAATTTAGATTGTTGGAGCACATTGATGTTGTTGTGAGACCCTGGCAAGTTGGCATATCCATAAGTCTTGTGATGCAACTGTTTGAAAGGTGATGGTGAGCTTTCCAACTTGACCCTTGCATTTCTCTTGCGAAGCATATGGATATTTCTTCCATTGCCAGTGAATGCCATTCGGGAATCCAAGCATGTCGTGGAAACACTCTTGCTTCTTCAAGTACCAAAAGTCAGGCCATCCTAGGCATTTTGTTCTATCAAGTACTCTTTTAAAAATATATTTACGATTATTTTAGCGAATCTGACCATTGCTTCAAGGCATGTGCTCTCAGACATCGGAGGTACTCATCACCGATGTCTGCAAGTATTCTGATAACAACAATACATTTCTGGAGAACAGAGAACCCAGGCAGCACGGTGCAACCACTCATCGGCGCGAAGTAATCATCATACGCATTCACACCCTCCACATTACAGAAAAAAAAGTTTGTGCATCCATAATCAGAGACGAAAAAAGCCTCCCTAATATGTCGGATAAGCGTGAAAACAATCGTCATAGATCAACATGGCCCCTTGCCCCACACCAATGAATAAACATGAGTTCCGACATAGCACCCTTGAAGTTGTGAACATGCTCGTATTCCATCAACAATGATTCAAGGACACTCAACGTCATCATCACTAATTCTCCATTCAAATTGTCTTTTAGATGGCGAAGAATCAGAATTGATTGTTGAAGTACTCATCGTCTGGATCTAAGATGTTTCCCTCAATTGAAGAAAAAATCTTTAGCAAAATGCCATGTTTGATCCTTTCACCATACACTCTTGGTGTGCGAGGTGTCTACTGTCTAGCATGTTTGTGCATGTTGAGGGGCGTACCTGAGCGGAGAAGGGGGGCCACTGGGGGACGAATTCGTCATTCGAACGGCCGGCGATAACAAAGGAAAATGTAAGTGGGTGACGGGGAGGGTTCCAGGTGGGCTTTAGCTTTTTGTGTTAACTTGGCATACAGTCCAGACATCCCACTTCTCCCTTTGATGTGATACCGAAGTTTGGGATTCTAGATAGCTGAAACAATTATGGGAGAAGTGGGGGACGTCGTTGGAACTTTTTAGTCCGGACCGAACAAATAGGGGAGGAGTAGGGACAACCTTGGAGATGCTTATATGCTAGGATAAAATAATAGGAGCTGCGTAACAACCAGTTCCTCGAATATGTTTAGTTCTCATCGCTTTTGTTCTAAAAGTTGGATTTGCATCCACAAATTATTGCTTTTATTTCCTTGTGTATGCCTTGCTATTGATGAACGTGAAGGGTTATTGGGATGATTTGGCATGGACCTTTTTACTTAAATTGTAGCATATGCCGAACAGATCTTGTAAGTGGTTCGAGGAGGAGGAAACATTATTCATAAGTAAAAAGTAATAATGGTAGGACATGATTGGACGATTTCGAATTCAGGGGGGGTGAGATAGAGGAACTATGTGACCAGTTCAAGTAAAATTAAATATTTGATCCCTCAACTTTTGGTTAAATC